CACTTTCACCATGAACAATTAATGTTGGAATCTTTAGAAATAAAAATGTTATTAGAATTATTTAAAATAAAAATTAATTTACTTGAACTTGTTTATAATCATTTGTATCGAATTTTTTTGTTCCAACTGGAGCAATTGGTATAAAACCACGTAGAGATTGTTGTTTTGTATTAGATTGTATCACATAAGGTAAAGAAAAACGACCACTCATAGATGGACTAATAATAACAAGATTTGAAAGACGAAGTGAACGTATTAATCTTATTAACCATTGTGCAGCTGCTGTTTCTTGAATAACAGGTAATGAACTATTGCCATAACCTAATATAAAAGAAAAGAAAATAATAAATATTAAATGAAGATATTAATTTACCAGGTAAATCAATAGCAAAAGCTTGATAACCCCAACTTGCTAAATATTGCAATGTACCTAAAATTATTCAATTCTAGAAAATAGAAATAAATCTATGATGAAATAATACCAATTTTTTCCCATGTTTTAGAAGAAAATGCTTGACCATGAAGTAGAAGTATATTAAAATTGCCTTCACCAGCTTCACGAACAAGAACATTTTGATCCTAAATATACATAGACAATACATTTTTGCTTTTATTTCATTTCGTCATCAATATAATCACATAGATTCTGTCAGTATAACTGTTAAAAAAAGGATCATGCAGAATACCGAGAAAGAAAAATAACGAAAACGTATGTAGAAATGAAGAACAAACATATAATATAAAAAGAAAACATTCGAACAAGAAATGTGGTTAACATAAAATCTGGAATGAAGAAAGAGGAGAAACTATTTGTTTGATAACTTCTAGAAAATTCTCAAGTAACAATATTTCTTCCATATTATAATAAGGAACAGAGGAAAGCTAACTAAAAGCCTTTTCAATTATTACAGTATAATCTACAAATCTCTTCGATTTTCTTAAAAATCTCACCGGAATGTCTCTTCAGAACCAAATCTTTCTAACTTCATTCTAGTAGAAATATAATAAAGTATGTGAGTATGAGTGCGGGTTCTAGTCTTAAATTCACTTACACTCATACCCATCCTGCAGACATTCCAATTTTCCTTTCGATCTTTCTATGGCCAATCTGAAAGATCGTTTCTTTATTTATCAGAGAGGAGTAGAAAAAGCAACAGGAAAACAGCAAACATCATGAGATTTGCAAAGACTTTCACACTGAAGTCTCTGCTACTTCTCTCTCGAAGAAAAGCAAATAGATCCAGACGAATAACAGAAGCACATAGGACAAGAACAAGGTTCGTTTTAACTATAGGTAAATAAAAATCAATATATTTTATTGACTAAATTTACAGGAAAAAAAAGTAAATGAAGTCTAACACTTAAAAATACTTAATTCTATAATAGATAAAATTATCTTTCTTACCTGTTCATGATTCATTGAAATCATATAAGTTCGAATGCGTACTTTTGGTATATCTATTTTTCCATTATTAGCATATAATATTGCTGGTTTACTATTTGATTTGACATCAGCTTTAATACGAATTAATGCATCACCATTATTATTTGAGACAACATATACATTACTATCATCAACTGATCCATGATTATCTTGATTTTGATGATATGAAATATAATTAAGTGTTAGAACAACAACACCAAAAATAACAATTCCAGAAGTGATTAATTTAAAAAATGTTGAGCGTACTATCATCTTTTTTTTTATTTCTCTGAAAAAAAAAATAGTAGATGATAATAGAAAAAATTCTTATCTTTCGCTTTCATTTCATCTTTCTTCTTTTTTTTTTTTTTTTTTTTTTTTTATTGTAGACGTAATATAATAGAAGATGAAAATGATGAAGGTGAAGACTTTTTTATTTTAAAAACAAAAAACAAAACAAAATATCATGTCTACACGATGTGCCTATTGTGAAAAACGATTTGAAAATGGTGATAGAAAATCAAAATATAATAATCTTGAATATCATCAAGATTGTTTTCGATGTTCATCATGTCATCAACCAATCAAACAATCATTTTATAATTTAGGTAATAATGAATATCGTTGTTCTGATTGTCAAAAAAAAGATCAAGTTATTATTAAATGTAATCGATGTTCAAAATCAATTAATGATAGTTCTTATATTGAATACAAAGGTGAACCAATTCATGGTGATTGTTTTACATGTCATTCATGTTTGGAACCATTAGGTAATATGATTTATGTTGAACATGATGAGCAACCATATTGTGTATCATGTCATATGAATCAATTTGCTCAAACATGTGCTGTTTGTGAACGTCCATTTCCACCAGGTGTATCCACAAGAAAATGTGATAATCAATACTTTCATATAGAATGTTTTCGTTGTTTTCAATGTGGGAAAATTATATTATCAAAAAATTATTTAGTCAATAGAGATCAACAACGTCTCTGCGATATGTGTACTTAAATTTAAAAAATAGATTAATTTTTTATCATTTTCTATAATGATTTAAGACAACGATTGCAATCGAGATTTTTTTTTCTTTTTTTTTTTTCTGCATATTTCTTTTTTTCTTCTATTTTATACAGAATATGTTAAAGAAGAACAAAATAAATTTTGAATAAAGAAAAGAAAAAGAACAAGAAAAAGAAAAAAAAATTCTTCATCACAATGGAAATATAACCACAGCCACTGCTCGTTGCTATGTCGTATAAGAGTGCCTCTATTTATTCTGCTTCTTTTCTCTTGTTCTCCCTCGTTTTTCTTTTTCATACTCTTTACATATCCTAACATTACGCTGTATTCATTTATACTTTTGTAGTAGTAAAATTTTAACTACGCATTGAAATTAGCTCAAAAAGATATGAGTACATATATTCAATCGGCACGAAATATTGGTCAATCACCTATATCTTTTTCCATTGATGCCCTTGAAGAAATTGTTCGAAATTGTCAACGAAATGAAGAACGTTTACATGAACTAGAACGTCATACACGTCATGAACGAAAAAAAGCTGAACGTCTTCTACGTGAAACATATCGAACAATGCAAGATGGTGATAGTCAAAATACTAGTAATATTCTAGAAAATAAAACAAACAATGATCATAGTTATATAGATAATCAACAATCAAAACAATTTTTCGTTTCACTCGATAATGAAAATGAAGAAAATGAAAATCATTATTGTCAACAAAGTAATACTAATAATAATAATAATAATAATAATAATAATAATAATAATAATAATAATAACAATAATAATAAGGGAACTGTAAGACAAAATAAACATTTACTTGAAAGAGTGGAAAAATTACTTGCTGGTGATGGTACAACAACATCTAGTGATATTATGTCATCACAAGAACGACAAAAAAATATTATAGAAAAACCAACATCACCTACTGAAGATGATCTTGAGGAAAAATCATTAAATATTGATCATATACAAAAATTGCCAGATTCTCGTCAACTTCAATCAGCATGTTCAATTGAATATGATCTTTCCACTGTTGATCATTTATTACCGGAACGAACACCAATTAATAATCATCGAATAAAATCTAATGTTCATTTCAATCAAGAAGATCAAACAAAAAAAATTAATGATTATAATAATGAAAAAAAGATTTTATCAGATAAACGTGATCAACAATTTTATGAACGCTATAATAATTATATTACAACAAATCGTTCGGTTTCTTCTAGACCAGAAAAACAACAAACAAAACCAGACGATGGAACTTATCAATATGAATCTCGTCCGATGTCAAGAATAAATAATAAAGATGAAGAATTAACTGATTTAGCACGTCGATGTGAAGATCTTCTTACACGTTTACATTCACAACGTAATCGTGCTGTAATGCTTGAAAATTCTACTCATCATTATGATTATCATCGACGACAAACATCACCTCGTTCATCAACTTATAAATCCAAACAACATGATCATCATCATCATCATCATCAACCTGTATCACCATCACCACCTCCAGAAGCAGCACCATCAATGTCTCTTCAACAAGCCCTTGAACTTCTTCGTCCAGAATTTATATCTCGTTCACGTCAACGTGTTCGACGTATACGTCTTTTACGTGAAGAACGTGAACGTAATGCTGAAATTGATCGTGAACGTCGACAAATGCTTCTATTTTCATGTACAAATTGTTGTTCAAATCCACCAAAACGTGCTATATCAGCACCGTCGACACGTCGTAATATTTCATATATTGCTCCATATGATAGATTAGATTCTTCACAAATACCTTCGACATATTATCAAATGAAAAAAGCAACAAAGAAAAAATATGATCAATTACCTGAAGTAACCGATCGTCGACGTCAACATCAAATGGATGAAATTCGTCGACGAAACCTTTTGCGTGCTAAAGTATTTCGTGCACGTCTCCGACAACATGTTGCACGACATGGTCGAACAAATATTGAGGAATCATTAACAATGGTTGATGCATAATAATCCAAAAAAAAAAAAAGAAAGAAAATTATAAAACTAAACTATTTTTTATTCAAATAAGTGTATAACGGATAAGCTTTATTCATACTTGTTATAATAAAAAAATTTGATATTCGTTTCAAATTAATTTGTATTTGTTGACAAGATAACGAAATTAATAAATTAGATTTGATTATCTTCAACTTATTTTATTTGACTGAAAATAAAAATAGAATCCATCTGTCATTAAGATATCTAACCTCGTTTGCCATTAGAAGGATAACAAAAAAACAATAGACGAAGAAACCTTGTTTAGTATTTGTTTCCAAACTTAGAGAACGCGAGAAGAAGAAGAAAAAAAAACAAGATTTGCATTAATCGATAGTTTTCTTATTATTGACGGAAAAAAGCAAACACTATAGCTTGAAAAGAGAAAGAAGCAAGCCGCTCGTCAATTGTTTCTTTTCAGTTAATAAGATCATCATTTTCTTTTTCTAGTAAGTGAAAAAAATTATGGAACTATTTCGTCAACGTTTACTTCAAAGTACAACAAAACAATCTGATTTAATTGATATATTTTCAGTTATTGATCGAGGTAGTGAGATTTTCTAATGAATATTCTTAATAGTTCTTTTTATTTTCTCAATATTAGATCATTCTGGTCGCATAACATTTGAAGAATTTCGTGCAGCAATTAAATCTCTTCAACTTGGAATAAAAAATGATCAAGAAATAAAAAATCTTTTTCGTCAATTTGATACAACAAATAATGGACAAATTGATCTAAATGAATTTCTTCAACAAGTACGACCAGCTATGAATGAACGACGTCAAAAAACTGTTTTAAATTTATTTAATTCTTTGGATGTTGATAACGATGGAACATTAACAATGCTCGATCTTAAAGTAGAATTTTATTCTTTCATTTTGTATTTCTCTAAATTAAAATGAAAACTTCAAAATATTTCTTTTCAGACAAAATATGCTGCACAAATCAAAGCTAATAAGAAAAAAACAGATCAAGCTGTCAACCAGGTAACTAATTTCTTAGATGTAAGATGTGCGTAATACAAAACTCAAGTAAGATAGTCTTTTTTTTCTTTTTATCTAATACATGATTTGATAGAGTTTTATCAGTTGATAAAGAAAAAGTAGTTCTTTGCACAAATCGATTGTTTTCAATTTTTACGAAATATTCTGTACTGTTTTCTTTTTGTTGAACTTTTGCAACTTATGCTTTCAAATTCAGCATCAAAAACTGAGTACAAAGTTGCTATGAGATCGAATTTGACCTTGAAACACTCTTAATGACACTGATCCAAATTGCTTCTATTTCCAGATTGGTAAGCCATTTTTATAAACTTATCTAATTTTTTTTGGTGTCAGCGATGAAAGCAAATATTTTATATCATTTATTTTATCGCAGTATGAATCATAAAATTATGCATAGCTTTTTGTTTCTTTGCTTTCTTTTGTTGAGAAAAATCATTTTTGCTAAATTTTTGACAAATTAGCTAGACATTAGCCCGTATCTCTCTATTTTCTTCATCAAAACTAAGCTTTCATGCAATTAGATTATCATATTTAGAACCATCGTACAAAATTGGGTCAATTGATGTTTATTTCTAGAATTTTCCTGAACCTTTATTTTTTGATGAAAATTTCAGTCAACATTTCAGATGAAAACTGAACTCAACAGAAACGATAAAAGTATACATTAGTCGATTCAATTTTTTACGCTGATTCCGAATATGATAATCTAATTGTATGAAAGCTTAATTTTTATGAAGAAAATCGAGAAATATGGATAAAATTCTAACTATTTTGCCTAAACCTTAATAATAATGATTGTTCTCAACGAAGACAAGAAAAGAGAAAAAACGATACATACTCTAATGACTGATATTACGATGCTATTAGTGAGATAAAATATTTGATTTCATCACTTACACAAAAAAAACCTAGATAGGTTGACAAAAACGACCTATAGACATGTTAATAGAACCTATTTGGGTCGCTACCATCAACAGAGTTTTAAGGTCAAATTCGATTAAATAATGATTTTGTACTTACGAGGAAAAGTCTTCAAGTGATAAATTGTTTTTCAGCTAGGACTATATTCAATCGCTAGAGTCTAGTGAGTAGGTGAATATCCTAGAGTGATTCGAGCTGCTAGACTTATTATTACCAAGATTTTGAATATTTAGTGGACTTTTCCTAGAGAGCTTCAGTTTTTAAGCGAAATCATATTTTTTTTAATTTTGACCTAAAACTATGCTCATATAAAGGCATCGATTTTACTAAGTCTCTTCAAGATATAAATTTTTCAAAATATCCATGTTTTTTTTTACAAGAATTATAGCAAAATGCTCCTATTTTAAACAATTCATATCTTGAAAAGACTTAGTGAAAGAATTGTGAAATTTTTTCTGCAAGCTAGTCTAATTATGCCTTTATGTGAGCAAAGTTTCAGGTCAAAATTCAAAAGTATAATTTCACTTAAAAACTAATGTCCTACAGAAATAATTCACTTAATATTCGAAATCTCAACAACAAAGGTTCAGCAGCTCGAACTACTCTAGAATATTTACCTGCTCTCTAGACTCTATTGATTGAATATAATTCCAGCTTAAAAGCGATTTATCACTTGAGAACCTTTCCTCGTCAGTTTTTGATTCTGAATTTGGAAATATAAGTTACAGAAGTTCAACCAAAACAAAAACAGAACAGAAAATTTCGCAAAACGTCACTTTTTCTTCATCAGAAGACCCAGCTATATCGAGCCATGTATCAAAAAAAAAAAGATACTTTATTTGAATTTCATGTTGTGGACACGTTACAAATTCTAATCTTTTTTTCTAGGCACTTCAAAATTTTTTAAATAAATTCGATACACGTGGTCAAGAGGATGGTATCATTGACAAAGAAGAATTTCTCGGATTCTGTTCAATGCTTAGTGCTACAGTCAAAGATGATGTCTACTTTGAATATGTACTTCGAACATTATTTGATTTTCGTCTCTAAACACAGTGAATAAAGAAAAAAAAACAAAAGATTATGATATGAACTTTATTTTTTCTTATTTAACAAAAATAGAACGCTAAAGGGTGAAACACCTGAGTTAAATATAGAGATTTGCAATATACAAGAATCATTCGAATAGAAAATACAAATACGAAATAAATGTCAAATCAAGCAAACACAAAAAGCGCATGTCATATATATCAAGAATAAATCATCAATAGAAACACTATATGCAAGCAATAACACAAACAAAATAAATCTTCGTCTTCTTTCTTTTTCTTTTCTGATTATTCTCATTAGTCACTGTTTGTTTTTGTATAGCTAAATTAATAATTCAATCTTTTATCGAATACAAAAATATTATTCATATCATTATCATATTTTTTATTATAGATCATCTCCATATTGTCTTTTTTTCCCAAAGAAAAAAAAAAGAATAAAAAAAAAACAAACAAAGGATAATGATATCAATCTTCATGGTGGCTACGTATAACTTTATTATCACGAGTTTTTCTCAGTGCTTGTGTACGTAATTTAAATGCTGCTTTATTTGCCAATTGCTGAAAAGAAAAGCAAAAGAAAAAAATAAGAAGAAAGGATACTGTCAGATAAGAAGGCCATCCTTGATTTGAAAAGCCATCTATGCCGTTCTGTATAGCAACTCGTGCCACATCTAATGATATATAGGAAAGTAATTCTTCATCAAGTTCTAATGTTCTGAGAAGTTATATATCAGTTAAAGGATATTATAGAAATAGTAAGTTATATGACCAAATATTTGATTCAGTCTTGTCTTCGATCGTGTGTGTCTAATAATGCTCACAATAGCTTTCTTCATATCCAAAATCTTAGAATTTTTACTAGCTTCAGTAATTTTTGACTTTTATTATGTTTTAATTTCTTCTATACTGCTTCCGAGGGTATGGGCGATCAATCATCCAACGTCCTCAGAAATTCTATGTTACTAAGCTCTATAAATATACCAATAGATTATCCTCTAAATTGATGTACGTCATAATCAAATCGGCCAGTCAATGTGCCTAAATAAGACAAATTTTTTGATTCCTAAAAGCAGAAAAGTATATGAGTTTTACGACAAATATTCCTTGAGTGAAAAATTTTCTCTCTATTAATAATAATTTCATCACGCCTGATCATTTGACATATATGGGTCTTTCGAAAAGAGTTTAAAAATTTTTTCGCTTTCAAATCCTTGGAGGGAATATGAGAATGAACTATTACAAAGAATAATTTTTATATTTTATTTTGTTCTTTAGGAATTTATATTCTGAGTAATCAAGTGTGATTAGAGTATGGAATTTTATTAGATTTAATATATGTTCAGTTTCTTTTGCGAATATATATGTCAAATGATAGGGTTTTATGAACTTATTATTAATAGATAGAAAATTTTTCACTCAAAAAATATTTATCGGAAAACCCAGATATATGTCTGCCCTCAAGAATCGAAAAATTCACCTTTTTAGGTATTGATCGGTCTATTTGACCGATGCGCACAACAATTTACAGGACAATCTATTGGTATACTTATGGAGCTTGGTGGCATGCAGTTTCTTAGAGAGTTACACAGTTGGTCGTCTTTGCTTTCAGGAACAGTGGAGAAGACATTAAAATATCCATAAAAACTAAAAATTATAGAAGCTAGTAAAAATGCTAAGGTTTTAGAAACAAAGAAAGCTATTGTGAGTATTATAAAATATGCCTAATTGAAGTAACTTTAAACAAAATTTGATATAAGTTGGTTTGAAGACATACTAATTTGACGAATAAGCAATTTTCTATATACCATTTGATGCCTCGTAAATTGTTCTACAAAACGATATAGATGACTTTTTCAAATGAATGATGATTATCTTATTTGACAGAATCCTTTAATCATTAATAATAAACATACTCGTTCAAACCGATTGCCTTTCCCCTGTTGATTTTCTTCAACTGCAGCATCATCCAAATTAAAAACTGAACGAAGAAATCCATTTTCTTTTAAATGCACATTCATACCAGTGCCTAATAAATTACTAAAACCATTATAATAAAGACGTCCTGTCCATGATGTTATTTCTAATACTTCTCGACCAAATTTAATTGTAAATTCAGGTGATGTACCTTCCTATTCAAAGAAAAAAGAAACATCAAATTTAATTTTACAAAAAAACCTTTATTTTTTTTTTGTTATACTTCAAATGAATTATATATTTCACGAAAAGTAGCACGTTGTAAACGTTTTTCTTTTTTGCCTTTATATTTTACACTTTCATTTGCTTTTTTATCTAATGTTTTTAATAATGATTCAGGTGGATCAGCAAAAACCTAAATAAAATATTAGAAATTATTTCTCGTTTTTCTTTTTTTTTTTATTTACATACACTATTAATATCTCGTGCTATTTCATATAAAACAGCAATTGTTTCACCAGCTTGATTGCGTAGATCAGCATCACTTGATTCAATAAGTCCAGGAATTTTTTCCGGTGCATAACTAAACAGATTATAAAATTAAATTCAGAGGCAGCGCGATCGGAAGAGAATAGTCTACTTTTAAAAATTTTGACGATAGCTTTCTTTCGTTTTGGAGAAAATTTCTAGAACCTTCGAACGTAACGAAACTCTCTGTCGCCTTTGTCAGTAAAAGCGGTTTGTCTATTTTTTGGAAAACTCAATACACTAAGTTTCAAAATTTCTCATGAAATATGATACTCATCGCTTTGGCTAATAGCAGTCGAAAGCACGGCTGCCTTCAGCGACGAAAAAAGATTCAAAAACGTTTCCACTACAAAGAGCTATAAGACAAGCAAGAATATTGTCGGAGTCTAAACAGTAGATGGTTTGTGTTCTATGTAAATTTATGAAATTGTCTCAAAGCTAGAGCTCATCAAGTCTGGAACCAATCCGACGACCTTTACACAAATTTTGAGTTTTATGTAAAAGTTCATCGAAGCGACAACATTTTTGGCACATTTTTAACTGCCAGAAAATGTCCCTAAGTAATAAATTGCTTTTGAACTGGGACTATATTCAATCGATAGGGCCTATTGAGTTGGTAAATATCCTAGAGTGGCTCAAACTAGTGAGTCTTTAGTATTGAAATTTCAAGCATTTAGTGGATTCTTCCTTTAGGGTCGCAGTTTTCAAGCGAAACCATACTTTTGAATTTTTACCTGAAACTTTACCTGCATAAAGGCACCGGTTAAACTAGCTTATAGAAAAACTTTCAGAAGTTTTTTTTTACTAAGTCTTTCCAAGATATGAATTTTTCAAAATATCCATATCTAAGAGAGACTTCATGAAAAATTTTGAAATTTTTTTGACAAGCTATCCTAATCGATGCTTTTATATAAGCAAGATTTCAGGTCAAAATTTAAAAGTATAATTTCACCTTAAAACTAATGTCCTACACGAAAAATCCACTAAAAATTCGATATCTTAGCAACAAATACCCAGCAGCTCGAATTACTGTAGAATATTTACTGACTCACTAGACTCTATTGATTGAATATAGTTTCAGCTAGAAAGCGATTTATCACTTGCGAACCTTCCCTTATCAGTTTCGACTGATTCGAATAAATTTTCTTTCATTTTCGGAAATATGTCCTTCTGCTTTGACTTCTTCGCGCTGTCCCCTACTAATCAAATTAATTTACATTCGTATTAAATCATGTGCATGATTATTAGGCATTGTTGATACAAGAAGACACCAAGATGAAAGTGCAGCTGCATGTAATTCTTGAAGATCACGTGTTACAATAGGTATAGTTCCATCTTTAAGTACATATGATTTCGAAAAGATTATTTCTAATGATTTCATTAAATCAACTGAAGACTAAAAGAAAAAAATTGAAAATAGAAATCAATATTTTAATTCAATTATTAATTTATTCTTACAGCAATATCTTCACAACCAATAAAACAAACTATACCAATTGTTTGAGCATACTATACATAAAACAAAACAAATATATATATATATAGTTTTATAAATAAAATAAACATACACGTGTTCTTAATGATGAAGATTTAGTTTCATCTCGTAATATTGGCATAATAGCATCACGAAATTTTTGAAATAACTCATCATTAGATTCACCAAGTTGAATAAAAAATAATGAAGTAACAATAGCTGCTAATTTTCCTTCGGATTCATTTCCTTTTTTTAAACATGATATTAATTGTTCAATTATATTTTCACTTCTAAAAAATTAATTAATTAATATTTATATATTTTCATATAAATATAATTTATACCGATTAGCAACTTGATCTGGAAGATATTTTTGTGAAAATAAAGCTTGAAGTGTACATAAACCATGTTCACGTGTTTTTAAACTAAAATTTAAAAACAAAAAAATTCATCAAATTTTTATTTTTAACGGATATCTCAAAATAAATGAACCTTTTAACATTTAATCAATATCTTCGTCAATGTCCATTACTTTGACTTAAAATTTTTATCAAAAGATTCCTCGTTCAATTCTCTATAAACACATATTATATGAAAAACTGACAGCCTAATATTTTGCACTGAAATGACAGATTTTGTAAATTTAGCTCTATTTTCTCCTCACATTAGATATGCACTTAGTCACGTTGGTTGAAGTTGTTTGGAAAGCATAATGATGCATACATCCCGAAAGGCGACTATAAGGTTTTGACTTCACTAGAGGAAGCCTTCCTCTCCTAACTTATATACTTCCTCTGATAAAGTCAAAACTCGCCGTGAAACTTATAGTCACCTTTCTTACAGAACGATGCAAAATCGCTGAAGTTCGTATTCTTTAGTAGGTACTATTTTTTAGCTTTAATAAAGTTTGTGTCATAACGACATTCGTACAGGTTGTGAATCATGAGTAAAGAAAAAAAAAACAACTCGATCTTTTTTATTTAGCGAAAGTATAAAGTTAAATTTATCTTAATTATAATTATAGTTTAAGGAATAAATCTCATATAAATTACATGAAAAAGAAATATATAACTTCCAGTTGGATTATAATTATATTGCAAATAAGGATTTTACTGAAACCTAAATGAAAGATAAAGTTTACTTGGATTATAAATACATTGTAGAAGCTGATGTATTTATCCGTTGATAACTAACCTTTTTTTTCAGCATGAACGTGTGGGTGCAGGTAAATAGAAGACCTACGTCCTATACTCATAATACATGTCAATAATTGTTATTCACCTACCTATCTTCTTCCTTCGAACAAGAATACTTTCTTTGCAAAGAAAACTCTATTAGGCATACCAACTCATATTCTTATCTCACACTTTTTTTCATGAAATTTAAATTTCATACCAGACTGCTTCGTAAGTTGGGCAAATAGATCATTTGTTTTTCAAAACAGTGACAACATTTGAACGTAAAAAGTTAGTTTAAAACATATAGACACAGAAATTTTTCAAAATGATGTTAAGTTTTTATCGAAATATTTACACACGAAAAAATCTGATTGTACGCTAATCAAGTATACAAATAAAATTCGATTTACTATGCAAAAAGAGCTTCTAAATAGATGATTAGATGTATTCGTATCTGGTACGTCCGACAGCTAAGGGAATAAAAACCTACAAAATAATATGACGTACGCGTCTTACAATCTTCAACTCGGCATGTTTCACTGTTAATTTTTATACTGAAATATTTCAAATGCATTTGTAGAGAACTGAACGTAGAATATTTTAGTAAAAAAGATTCAAGCTGAAGTAACGTACTTCGACGAAGATATTAATAAAATGCTGGAAAATGCCAGCTTATTCTAGGACTAGAGTTCGTCGAGTTTGACTCGAACGCCTCTATCTAAGATATACATTAAATCTTCTTACTCTTTATTTCGAAGTTCTTCAATTGCAGAATCAAGTTTTTCATCAAGATTATCCGATGATAAAATCACTGTAGTTGCTGCATTAAGACCAGCTACAAAACAAAATCTATCAATTGAAATAATTCCTCTTCATTCTTTTTTTTACCTTCAATTTCATCATAAATACTCGTTGCATCAGAAATATTTGAACAAACACTCATATCCTCATCAGCTAGCACTTCATCATCCACATCTGTTCTAGATGTTTTAATTGGTGCATTACGCGAATGACGATCTCAAATATCAACATATTATTTTCTATAAATTTTTTTTTATAAAAAAAAAAACAATATTTACCTTTTCTTAAATGTTTCGGCATAATTTAATTCTTATTCATACATATCTACAACAAGAACAAAAAGAAAGGAAAAAAACACATCCTAGCGTTCGTTTTTTATTTTATAAAAAAAAAAAAAAAACTTCGATTCTGGTTTAATCAGTTTTTCATTTTCTGTTTTTCTTTTAAAATAATCGATCTTGTTTATCCATAGCTAAATGTGGATCTATTTGATGTTCACCAAATTCATATGGATTATTTAATATATCCTCAAATGAAATATCTTCATTTGTACCACGTAATACATCAACCATCAAACGTGAACTTGGTAAACATGGAAGACGACCAAGTTTATTTGCTATTTGTAATTCTGTTTTTAATTTTAATGGTGCTTGTATACCTAAAACACTACGTGCCATATGATGATGAAATGTATCATTTTTTTCAATAAATATTTTTTCAGATTTTTCAAGAATATGACCAGTTGTTAATGTTGATTTAACTGATGTTAAACCTTGAAAAAGTTTATTTGGTAAACCAGTATAACTTGATGAATCCATCTAGACAAAAAAAAAATAACACATGATTTAATTAATAAAAAAATCCATGATTCACTTTTATTCAATAGTAATTAAACACGCTATTACAAATATGACAATCTAAATAAAAAAGAGAAACATTTACAAAACAAAAAACAAAAAACAAAAAGAATTAATTTCAATCCGTTGACTAAAAGATATCGTACTTGATCAGACAGAGGTAAGGAAAAGACGACGACGGCAAGCAGGCAAAAATAAAACTATGTCAGAAGAAAAGAACCAATCAATGCTTGTTAGAGTATATATTCATTAGTGACCTCTAATGGATTTAATATCGAAGGAAAACGGAGGTTTGCTAGCGTTATATTTTAAAAATATGGTTTAGAATCTATGTTTGATATAATCAAATCAAATGTTTTATTTTAGTTTTCATTGTTTGTTGAATAGATAATCTTGAGATTTTTGAATGATTTATCATATGAGTGGATTAATGTAGAAATATCGAGAGAGAGACAATGCAAGATCAATTCTGATAATTAATTATTAGATATTAAGGAAATTTTTTAAAATTTAATTGAGTCCTTTCTTTTTTCGCAAATACACTCATATACAATCAAAACTATTAAAGTTTTACTGAAACACATTAAAGATCTTTATCAATTTAGATTCCATTTGAATTTTGAGACAGCCATTGGTGTTTCAAGCGAGGGGATCATCCTTCAATCTTTTAGCAACAATCTTCTGATCAGCCTCCTCAGTCACGACCTTCCCTTCAATGCTGGCGGCTTCGAGACATCCCTGATATTAACTTATGTTCTTGTAGCCCTATGAGAATATTATGAATTGAATTTTCAGTCATTGATTGTAATACTTTATAACATCACCATATTGATCGAGTCTATAATGAATATAAACAATGTAATTATGAGATGATATTAGGTTTGATTGATCAAAAGGAAAATATTTTTCATGAAAGTCTAATGTCTTAAAGTATTTCTATCTAACTCTATTTGTTTAGTTCTTATCATATGCTTCATTTTGATAATCTTTCAACCGATAATTTTCATTAATTCTATTATATAAATTACAAATATCGATATAATAGAGGTGAAGAATCTGCCGCCAAAAATGAAAGCTTTTCACAAATGAAAATAAATTTTTGAAGAAGTTTTCTCTGCTATTAAAATAAATGAAAAGTCGGATTCTATTTTTTACTTGCACATTCGAAGAAAGCAAAATAGAAATTGGTCTACTTAGTACTCAAAAAGACGATATAAAATAGTAATTTCTATCAACCAGCAATTAATAAAAGCTGTGTATGAAGCTTATGGTCTTATTACTACACGAGAAACATTTCTTTATCCGAATTACTAAATGAAAAAAGTTTTTTACAGCAAATTATTTTCGAAAATTTCCATAAATCAAAAACGTGTTCTCCAACGCGCATTGACGCACACTAGTGGATTTTGTACGTCTGTGATATAATTAAATGAATATGTGTACACTTTGATTTCTTCAATCATTTATTAAACCATTCCAAAATGTCATCGTAGTCGTCTTTGTCATTATCTACCATGCTGAGTAAACGCCGATACATTTTCCCTATTCAATCATATTTGTTCGTCAGGATGTGATACAATTCTAAATAAATGAAACTCAACTACCTCATTATTGCATTCATACGATTACTTCATAATGACATGAGTATATTCTGATTGTTCATATTTGTTTCTTATTATCTTGATGAACATTGATTAAATGAACGATATATTCAATCATAAATAAAGCTTTCGATTTTTCAACAAAGGGATAAAATGTATTGATCTCTGCAAACGGTTTTGTTTTTACTTCATGAAGATCACCTTCAATATAAATAATATCGGCTGAAAAATCATCGCAAATATTCGAACTATTCACAAATATTAAGGTTTTATAATGATTTATACTACTCCAAAAAATTAATGAATTGATTATTGAAGGCTTTCCATTTCGTCATTCGACATCACAAGAGATCCGAGCCAATTATAGGTACTGATTCCGTTTCTATTGTCAATAAATGCTATCGATCACAAAAAACAACTCATGTACTACTATAAAGCTTTGTCTGAAAAATATTTAGTTGAATGTTATGACTTTGATATTCATTTTGTTAAAGTGTAATCAGATTTTTTGTTTATCTTTTTCAATTGATCACACTCCAAAAAGAATATTGATAAGAACAAGATACTGAATAAAATGATTATTAAATTCAATTGTTAATTGATCGTGACTAGCATTAACCGTATAAAAATTGATCGGAAATAGTTCTGCAACTTATAATTAACTTTTCTAATCTATTTTCATTTGAATAATGCTATCATGAAGTCAAACTATATATAGTCTTTATTTAAATGATCAAAAAAATTTTTAGAAAAAAAAATCAATCTGAGAAATGTTATAATTTAGAAAAGACTTAGACCCTCGATCTTATTGAGGAGAATTAGTGAATTTTGAACACAACAAAACTTCAGCGTGCAAAAAAATGAAGAGAAGGCTAACACTCATACCCACATTCAAGACCGGTACATAACAAGAGCTGATTATCATCTATAGTCGGGTTCAATGTACATGGGACGGCCATTGACTATTTCAATCGACCTGTGTACAGCACAAATAAGTGCTAGATGCCTAATTCTACTAGGGGTTATTTTCGGTTGCCTTATGCGATAGCTTAATATAGAAGAAATTAAATTTCTCGAAAGGACCAGTTTCAACAGTTATCGACCTTCCTTGTTTATCATTATCAACAAAACAAAATCTTTTTTTCAATTAAATATTCAATAAAGCAAACTGAAGTGTCCACCGTTTTTTTTTCTAACTCATAATTGAGCTAAATTTATTAAATCATGTCATGTATTATAATACATTATTTTCAGAAAACTAAGACAATATTCAAACACACAAGAACACATAAGACAACAACGAAGAAAAAACAAAATATAACTACAATATATTATTCAGCTTATTTTTCAATCAATATAAGCAACAAAACTAAATCTAACATAGATAAACAAACAAGTTAATAACTCAAGCTCAATAGAATATACATGAATATCTGTACAAAATATACAAAACAAACGTCTGGAGTAAATAATTGATTATTAACAATAAAATGCAATAATATAATAAAAAATAAATTGAACTATTAAACAAGAAATCTATTTCTTGTGGCGGCGGGTTCTCTTAACGATTGGTGTTTCAACTTGTTTTTGTTCTAGAACGGACAACAATTAAATGAAAACAATATTCTCATTTAAATTAAATCTTACCTTTAAGTAAATTTGTTTCTAGTTTAATAAGTAAAGCGATAAGATCAGCTTTCTTTGCACCTTTTGGTATATTTTCCTTATGTTTATTTAATCGAGATTTAAGTTCAGCAACAGTTAATTCTTCAATCTATTTAATACAAATAAATTCAATAGTAAAATAATAACAAAAAAAAAACAAATTTTCTTTACTTTTTGGCGTTCTTCTTGATTTAATTCAATATTTTGAATTTCAATTTTCTTTTTTAATTCTTCATTTTTTTCAACACTTTCTAGTGGACGTTTTCTTGTTTTTATTATTGATTCAGTAGTTTTTGGTTCAATATTTATTTCTACTGGTCGTTCAATTGATTCAGTTTTCTTCTTTTTCGAAGCATTTGATTCAGATTTTTTGTTTTTTGAAGCACTTCGTTTTTGTTCAATTGGTTCAGGTTTATTTTCCGAAGTACTTGGTTCAGATTTATTCTTTTTCGAGGCACTTCGTGTTTGTTTAACTGATTCAACTTTATTCTTTTCCGAAGTACGTTGCTTTTGTTCAATTGGTTCAGCTATATTCTTTTCCGGAGCAGTTGGTTTAGATTGATTCTTTTTCGAAGCAGCTCGTGTTTGTTTAGTTGGTTCAGTTTTAGTCTTTTCCGAAGCAGTTGGTTTAGATTGATTCTTTTTCGAATGATTTCGTTTTTGTTCAATTGGTTCGGATTTATTATTTTTCAAAGCACTTGATTGAGATTTATTCTTTTTCGAAGCACCTCGTGTTTGTTTAACTGGTTCGGCTATATTCTTTTCCGGAGGTGTTGGTTTAGATTGATTCTTTTTCGAAGCACTTTGTTTTTGTTCTGATTTATTTTTTTTATTAGTTTTTGGAGTAGTTGGTGGTTTTGTTTGTCGTTCGATTGATTCAGATTTATGTTTTTTATTATTTGTTGAAATAGTTCGTGTTTTTGGTGGAGTCAATGATGGTAAAGGAACTAAATAAAATATTAGATGAGATATTTGAAAGTTTGTATGTTAAAGATTTACTTTGAATCGGTTTTGAAGTTTTAGTTCGTTTAGCAGCTGGTTCCATAGTTACTTCAACATTTGGTCGTTTTCGTTGTGAATGTTTTTTGGTTGGAGTACTTTTAGGTTTTTTGTTTAAAACTTTGGTTGATGAAAGTCGTTTTAAAGGTTTTTTTACTTGTGATTTTTTATTCTAAAT